ATTTCTTCTTTTATGCCCTTTTGCTACCACTTAATCTGTTACCTTTCACTTTAAACATGGTAGCTTTTTTTTAAGTCTGACTCAATCTATCAATTCAAATTCTACCTTTGAAGTCTATTAATTTAGCTTTAACTTCTTGTCCAATTGCAAATTTTATTAATTTGTGTTTTTTCATATTGTTAATTTCTTGTATGTTCATAAGCCAAAGTATTTTCTGGGGTTTTTCCTTTTTATTGTATTTATTTTCACTTTTAATTTGTTTTTTTCATACCTATCCATTTTGTTGGACATTCGTACAACCATCATGAACCAGAGATTCACTGTACAGGTGGCTGGTCAGGAATTCTCGGATGAATTGATTCGATTCATTCAGTATTTTCTATAAGTACCTGCAACGTGCTGGTTTTATGTAACTACAGAGACCACTGTTTGGTTCCTTACAATCTCAGGGAAAAGTCCATCAGGACATCATGTGGGAGTTTTATTTGTTTTTGTCTGTGGACAGTGGTCAATTGCAGTCTAATTTCCTGGAATTCTGAACAAGCTACCACATATAAAAGTATTAGGTCCAGGTGATTATACAGCTGATTTCTGTCTACTCTTTAAAGCACAAATACTTTTTACAATCAAGTATTTAAAGCATAAAAAAGATGATATGGTGATTTTGCAGTATGTTCACGAATGTACTATCCTTACCTTGAAGGATGGAGCCTTGTTCCCCCCTTCTGAATATATGCCACGTTTAAGTGACTTGCTTAATTAATAGACAGTGGCAGAAATGACAGGGTGTGACATTTGAAACTAGGTCTCAGAGACTTTGTGGCTAATTCCTCCCCGCCTCTCTCTGTGATTTGTCTTTGTGGAAGAGAGTCAATTAGCCCTCCTGAGAGGTCTATGTGGCAAGGCACAGAGGTCCTACTGAGGTCGTCCTGCCAAGAGCCAACAGGAACGTGGGTAGCATGGGAGTGAGCCAACTTTGGAAGGGAACCCTCCAGCACAGTCAAGCCTTCAGGTGACTGCAGCCCATGTTTACATCTCGACTTCAACCTGAGAGACCCTGGCCAGAACCTCCCAGCAAGTCACTTCTGGATTCCTGACAACCCAGAAACAAAATGAGATAACAAATGTTCATTGATTTAAGCTGCTGAGTTTTTAGGTAGTTTGTTACATAGCAGTAGATAATAGAGGAGAGGCCATAATTAAGTTTTTTTAAGTTACCATAATCTTAATGACTACCATCTATATGGATGAGCCCAAAAGAAAAAACCACAGAATGATTTTATGTATGAATAGAGGAGGAAAAAATCCCTCTGACATATTAAAATGTGTGCAGCCAGTATTTAAGATAATAATACAACATGACCAAGTAAGATTTGGCCTGGGAATGCAAGTATGGAGGAACATTAGGAAACTACCTATACTTCATTGTAGCCGGATAAAGGAGGAAAAGCACATGA